TTGTACTCTCTTGGATAAGATACTTCCCTTTCTTCAATGGTTGGATTCTCAAGAGGATCATGAGTTTCCTCATTTTTCGTTTCTTCATTTGATGATGGTTCTCCAACTTCATGTCTAACGTCATTTGTATTTATAACACCTACATCATCATTCACACAAGAATCCTTCCTCGGAAGGGGATTATCATCGAAAACAACATGTATAGACTCTTCTACAACTAAAGTTCTTTTATTAAATACACGATAGACTTTAGAATTTAAGGAATAACCCAGAAAAATTCCTTCATCACTTTTAGCATCAAATTTGCCAAGGTTTTCTTTACCGTTGTTTAAAACAAAACATTTACATCCAAAAGGATGAAAATAACTAATGTTAGGCTTTTTATTTTTGAAAATTTCATATGGAGTTTTCTTTAAAATTGGCCTAATCATTACTCGATTTACAACATAACAAGCGGTATTTGTGGCTTCCGCCCAAAAATATTTTGGCAAATTATTTTCACAAAGCATGGTTCTAGCCATTTCTTCTAAAGTTCGATTTTTCCTCTCAACAACTCCATTTTGTTGAGGGGTTCTAGGTGCTGAAAATTTATGACTAATACTGTTAGAATTACAAAATTCAATAAATCCAAGATTTTCAAATTCAGTGCCATGATCACTCCTAACACTAGTTATAGAGTAACCCTTTTCATTTTGGATTATTTTTGAAAATGTGATGAACTGTTCTAATGCTCATCTTTAGTACTTAAAAATAGAACCCAAGTATATCTAGAATAGTCATCTACCAGACAAATGCATATTGTTTTCACCCAAGCTAGTAGTCCTAGTTGGCCCAAAAGATCTACATGGATCAATTGTAATACTCTACTAGTTGATACGTCATTAATGGATTTAAAAGAAACACGCTTTTGTTTTCCTTTAGCACAAGCATCACAGATTTTATCATTATCAAATTTAAGCTTAGGCAACCCTCGAACTAAATCACCTTGAATTAGCCGTTGCAAAACACTCATACTAGCATGTCCTAGTCTCCTATGCCATAACCAACTATCATGTTCATCTTTAGCAACTAGGCATAAATTAGTCATATCAAAAGAATCTAAATGTACCATGTAAATGTTCCCTATTCTATGACCAACAAGCATAATCCGATTACATGCAATGTCAATGACTTTACAACCATTAATTTTAAATAAGACATTGAATCCTTTATCGCATAATTGACTAATACTCAATAGATTATGCTTTAATCCATTCACATATAAAACATTCTTAATTTGTATGGAAGAGGTATTACCTATTGTACCAATACCTTCAATGTGACCTTTTGAATTGTCTCCAAAAGTCACTTCTCCTCCATTTTTGGCGTTAAGCTCAATGAACCGGCTTTTGTCTCCGGTCATATGTCTTGAGCATCCACTATCAAGGTACCATGAATTTGAATTTGTTTCACGTGCCTTGTAGCAATGCTCCTTTCCCTATAAACATAGATTAACTTTTGATTTTTGGTACCCAAATTCTTTTGGGTCCATATTCATTAGTTTCCAAAATCCTAGTCCCCTTAGGTATCCATTTGTGTAGGATATTTTTTATCTTTAGTAGTAATGAGTTCTTTAGGAACCCACATACTTCTAACGATTTTTCCATTAGAGGTTCTTTGGGGACCTCTATGATTGTAGTTTCTAAAACCTTTTCTAACAAAGTTGGATTTTGAATTTCCACCTTTTTCAAAATGTTTTTGTTCCAACTTTATCAAAAGAAGTTTTAAGATCATCAATTTTCTTTTGATGATCATCATTGATCTTTGAAAGTAAATTTTGCAAATCTAAATTTTTCTTTTCAAACTCTTCTAGTTTGATTTGCAAGTCTTTGATTTTACTTTCAAGATCGTTGTTGGTTTTGGATATGAGTTTGTTTTCCTTTTTCAATTTTGAAACATCATTTTTATATTTTAAAAATAATTTCTCATAATTCGAAGCAAACCCATTATATTCCTCTAATAACTCATCATAGGATAAATCATCAAAATCGGATGAGTTAGAGGTTACCTTAGAATCTTCCCCAAATGCCATCAAGCACAAGTTAGCTACTTCTTGTTCCTCTTCATCGAAACTTTCTTCATCGCTCCATGTAGCCACATGAGCCTTGTGCTTATTCTTTGATTGACCCTTTTTCTTCAATTGTGGGCAATCATATTTAACATGCCCTGGCTTTTTGCATTCGTAGCAAATGATTGGGTCCTTCTCTTTCAGTTCATTTTTGAGGCCTTCATTTCGTTTTAATTTTCTTCCTCGATAAGATCTCATCATTTTTCTGAACCGTTTGGCAAACAATGCCATTTCCTCGTCATCGTCATCGTTATTCGAATCACTCTCATCTTTTGTGGATTTGAGAGCAACTCCAATGTTTTCTTCTTCTCCTTCTCCTTTGGTGTCTCGTCAATTTTGTCGAGGTCCACCTCATCTTCGAGCATCATTTCATGAGTGAGGAGTGACCCAATTAGCTCTTCAAGAGTTAAGGACGTTAAGTCCTTAGACTCGATGATTGTCGTCTTCTTTGATTGCCACGATTTTGGGAGGGAGTAGACTAACTTCCTCACAAGCTTTTCATTTGAAATGATCTCTCCATATGATTTGAGACCATTGACAATCGTTGAAAATCTATCCGTCATAGCTTTGATATCTTCATTTGGTTTCATCCTGAAATTTTCATAGCTATGCGTTAGAATACTAATTTTAGATTTCTTTACCTCATCGGTACCTTCATGAGTGACTTGAAGTTTGTCCCATATTTCTTTGGCGGTTGTACACGATGAAACTCTTCCGTATTCATCTGGTCCAAGAGCACAAAAAATGATATGGATGGCTTTGGAGTTGAGCTGGAACATTCTTGTCTCTCCTTCACTCCACAACCTTGGATGAGTGAGAGGTTTGATGTATCATTCTTCTAAAGCATTTTATGCTCCCATGTCACTTGCTTGAATGAAGTACATCATTCTATTCTTCCAATAGGCATAGTTAGCTCCATTGAAGAAAGGAGGCTTGTTGACGGGCATCGAATCGAGACCGGAGTCGAAGTTTGAAGCGGAGGCCATTGATGACTTTGATAATCGATATAACTCTTCCCGAATCGACTCAAGAGGCGATTAAACCTTCAAATGAGTTAGGCTCTGATACCAATTGTTGAGTTAATCGATCGACGGAATTAGCCAAGAGGGGGTGAATTGGCAATTAAAAATTCGGTGGAAGCTTTTGCAGAAAATTGAAAAGATTTGCACAGCGATTTAGAGTGGTTCGACTTTCTCAATCAAAGTCTACGTCCACTACCTTAGCTATCCACACTAAGGATTTTCCAACAAATTCACTAATTTGTTCTTTCTTTTGAGGCCAAAGAGATAACCTTACAAAACCCTCAAGAATATACCCCAATTCTTGAGAACACTATTTTCCCAAAGAGAAGATTACAAATTTGCAAACTTACAAGGAAAACCTCACAAAGTAAGATGTTTGCACAATTCTAGAACAAGAAAAGAACACTCAAAGATAATTACAAATGAGCACAAATGGAGTTCTTGAAAGCAAAATGAATATTGAAAGGAAAATTGGCTTGATTTGCACAAACTTGGTGTTTGATGCTTTCTCTCTTGTTTCTCTATGATTTCTTGTTGATCAAGGGCTTCAGAATTTGTTTAAATACACCTTGAATCACTTCTGAACGTTGGGGATAATTAATGAAGATAATATAGCCGTTTTAGTGTGAAAACAATTAATAAAACAGCTTGGAGCGTGGGGGGAATCGGTTCCCCCTCATAGGGAATCGGTTCTCTAAGTGTAAAATTTAAATATTTCGACCGTTGAACTGGGGGGAATCGGTACCCCCTATGGGAGAATCGGTTCCCTCCGAGCATTCTGGAAATCTCGGAGCCAAACCATTCAGGGGGAATCGGTACCCCCTTGGGGGGGGAATCGGTTCCCTCTGAGCAATCTAGAATTTTTGGCTTTGAAATGGTTCGAAATACTTTGAAAGATTATTTTGAAATTGTTTTAAGATTAAAACTTAATTTTATACTTAAGTAAGGATTTAAAAATGATTTTTGAAATATTTTGAGTAATGTTTTGATATTCGAATAATTATATCGAATATACTTAGAAAATCATTTTGGAAAATCTTAAAATTCATTTAACTTAATTTGTTATATCGAAATATCAAAATGTTTTCAACAATAATATTTAAAGAGTTGTTGAGAAAAGGTTAAGATTAAGAGTTGTCGGCTTATATATCAAAATATAATAATTTATAATATAATATATTAAAATTTAATTAATTGATAACATAAATGACTGTTATGGCATAATATTTTCAAAATTAGTGATTATAAATGACCAACTGAAATAAAAGTAACCGTTCTTTTAGTTTATCCTTTTTTAACATTATTTATTGAGTTAATTACATCGTATGTCTCAAACTACGACTCTCATTTCAGATTAATCCTTAAACTTCTAAACATTTCAATTTCATCCCTAAATTATATCTTTCATTCTAAATTAATCTTTAAACTTTTGAACATTCTAATTTCATCCCCAAACTATGAATATCATTCTAAATTAGTCCTTAAATTTTTGCATATTTAATTTTAACCTAAATTTTATTTTATTTTCAAACATATAATAATATAATTTGGTCTAATGATTTTACTAACAAGGGATGTGATTAGTATAAACATATAATTTAGGATTAAATTGAAATGTTAAAAATGTGTAGGGACCAATTTAGAATGAAAATCATAGTTTGGGATGAAAATGAAATGTTAAAAGTTTGAGGACTAATTTAGAATGATAGTCATAGTTTAGGGATGAAATTGAAATTTTTAAAGATTAGAGATTAATTTGAAATAATGCTCATAAATTAGGGACGTATTATGAAATTAACTCTTATTTCTCTAAAAGAAAGCCCACCCACTGTTTTGTTCCTTTGACATGATTTACTTCATCCTATATTTTCTGTAGCAGCATCAGGAAAATGAAGACACTATTTTCTCGGGCGTTTTCCAGGATTTATGAGATTCCCAGAAAATCTTTGTTTGACTGTCCTCAACACCGCCAATCTCTTGTTTTGACAGCTAATTCTCACTCTTCCATCGATTCTAATCCAAAGGTACATTAAAAAAAGCTTTGTTCTTCAATTGTTTTTCTTAATTGAAAAAAAAAAACAAATTCTGGGTTTCATTTATTGGTAAATTTGGATTCAACAATCATAATCTGAAGCTGAAAGTCAATTCTTTTTCCAGGAAAAGGTGGATCCATTCTCCCTTGTTGCTGATGAAATCTCACTTGTTTCAAACAGGTTGCGTTCATCTGCAGTTGCCGAGGTATTTTCATTGCTATGTCTTGTCTTTTCTCTTGGATGTTTAGTAAAAGGATATATTATCGGAGGCTTGCCGGAATCGAACTTCCGGGACGCTTTCCGATGCTTAAGTCGGTCGAAAGAAGCATTCGGATTTGCCCGAACTTTGCTGCTCGAACCCGAGTCCTCTAGAGAGCAACATTCCCTTTCTCTCTAGATCTCAATAAAAGAGTTGTTTTAGATAAGTCTGATTACAATGAGGATGATATTGAAGCATGGATTTCTGTCATTTAGGTCCCTGAGCTCTCCTCGGCTGCTCGATATTTCTTCGAACATGGAGTGGAAGGGAAGAGGACATGTTCCATGGTAATAAGAACATTATTAAATGTTTTATGTTCCATCATGCTCATGATCACATTTTACATTCATAAACCAGCAACTAAACACTACTACTTAGTAGTTTGGTTCGATCTCTGACTGAAAGAAACCGAGGGATGTTGTGTATTCGATATTCCCACCTATGTTACTCACACTAAAACGAGTGTGATGGTCACAGGTACTCGGTTCTTCGAGGATCGAAACAGGGGTACTTCAAGGAGATTTTCATACTTTTTTTTGCAGGTTTTGTTGTTGATGGCTAAATCAATGGATAAACATAAACCCGGATCATCTTTTAGTTGCATCCAAGATACATCGAGAGTTCAACTGCGTCTAAAACAGAAACTTATAGCCGAAATAACCGAGATGATCCATGTTAGTCCTTCGCCTCCGAAGCAAACAATACCTCATTCCAGGCACAGACCAATAATCTCTGCATAAAACAGTTCTCATGTGGAGAAACATTTCTGTATACATTGTTAGATTGATCTAATAGTCTTTGTGAACTTAGGTGGCTAGTCTAATTCATGATGATATCTTGGATGATGCGAAAACGAGGCGTGGCGTCGGTTCGTTAAATTCTGTGTTCGGAAATAAGGTAACTGAATGCATACATCTCATGTTAATTGAAACGTGTTCATAACTTTTAGTATTCATCCCTGGCTATTAATCGATACTATGCAGTTAGCTGTGTTAGCAGGGGATTTTCTGCTTTTTCGAGCTCTAGGGGCCCTCGCTTCCTTGAAAAACAATGAGGTATGTAAGTACAATTGACTGAATATGAAGAAAGCTCGAAAAATCAAGCTTACCCGAGCCGGAAACGTACTCAAATCCGACACTTGATCATTATTTGAACAGCAGATTGTATCATTACTAGCGACAGCAGTCGAAAATCTTGTTACGGGTGAAACCATGCAAATGGCTGCAACGGTCGAGCAGCGCTGCAGGTATGATCCCGAGTTGGACGGACCAACTCTTTATTCTTTTCCGAAGTATTTTTATTCGATTCTCATGTCTAACTAAAAATTTTGGAGAAAAACTTCTTAATTGCAGCATGGAGTATTATATGCAGAAGACTTACTACAAGACTGCATCATTGGTCTCCAACAGCTGCAAGGCAATGGCCCTTTTATCCGATCAAACACCCAAAGTTGCAATGTCGGCTTTTGAATACGGCAAGAATTTGGTCTGTAAACTTCTTAAACGCCATCCTCTCTAGTTTACGATCCGTGTTTCAGTACATGAGCGTATCGAATATACGCTCAGTTCGTGTTTTACAGTACCTTTTTTTGCCATTTCCTGATTCTTTTTAATCCGTTTCCCAGGGAATGGCATATCAGTTCATAGACGATATTCTCGATTTCACAGGCACATCAGCTTCATTAGGAAAGGGTCCGTTATCGGACATACGACAGGTAATTGGTCTAACCGCATCATACCATATCTCTTAGGCCCTGCACCTGCGTCCGTATGAGACGTATATTCGATCAACGACATGTTCTGTTCATTCCGTTTTTTCGAAACCCTTTTTCAAGTGCATACATTGACGAACATAGATCTGATTTTTGCAGGGAATCATAACTGCTCCTATATTATTTGCCATGGAGGAGTTTCCTCGGTTGAAAGCCGTGACCGAGCAGGGCTTCGACAACTCCGCCAATATAAATACGGTAAGTTCGATTTCGCAGCCCAATCCTACTTAAAATCGAACCAGTGGGAATTACGGTATTGATGTTGAGAACACAGGCACTTGAGTACCTGTGGAAGAGCAACGGAATACAAAGGACGAAAGAACTCGCGGCGAAGCATGCTAATCTTGCTGCAGCAGCCATCGATTCTCTGCCCGAAAGTAGCAGCTCGGACGTAAGGAGATCGAGGCAAGCACTCATTAATCTCACTCGAATACTCACAGCTAGAAATAAATGAGAACAATTGAATCTAATTTTCGTTTGTTAAACCGTTATTCTACATCGATTAGAGTATTCCGATACTACTCGCGTTGGATGCTTAACATGGTATTAGAGCCTCGGTTTTGTTATGTTGTTATTCATGCGTAATACCCTTTCTGAGTTTTCTATTATTACATTTAAGAAACTCAAATACAAACTACTAATATTATTCTTAGAAACTAAGAATAAATTTATTCAAAAATATTGTATTTTTGCTTTTATATTATTTTATTTATGAGTAAATTACGGGTTTAGCATTTAAACCATTAGTTTTTATCCGTTTTAGTACTTAAATTTTTAATTTTTTAAAATTATACCTAAAGTTTAATTTTTGTTTCATTTTAGTATCCACAGTTAAAAAACTTTAGTTTTGGTTTCATTTTGGTACCTGTTCAAAATTTAACATTAAGTTTTAAAAAATTAAAAGTTTAGGTACTAAACGTGTTAAGTTTTTAACGGCGGGATATTAAAATGAAATAAAAACTAAACGTAAAGTATGATTTTTTAAAAAAAATTGAAAGTTTAAGTGCTATAACAGATCAGAACTGATAGTTTAAGTATTAAATACAAAATTTAGCCTTTATTTTATTATTTAGTAGAAAACTTTTAGGATTGTTTTCCTAGCGATTGGGACACGTGGGTAAAACGTGACCAATCGTAATCTAATTGTATTTGTACGCAGCAGCAACGCGTGGCATTTATATATTAGAAACAAAGTTTCTCTGCACCGAAGGACATAAACTATGGTTACGTTATCGATTAGTCCCTAAATTTCACATAATTATTATATTAAATATTTCTAAAATATGTGAATTTTTTTGGATATTAAATTATAAATATGTACATAAATTTGATCCATGTACTTTAAATATACTCTAGAACAGATTTAAATTGTCATTTATCGCTTAAGTACATTAATACAATATTGATACTTTGACGATTCAATCAAAAAATATTTTTGAAATTAGGGACATAATTACACTCTAGAATATAGTTTGAGGGCGTTTATTTAAGTTATCCTGAAAATAAAATAGAGTAAACTACGCATTTAATACATAAACCATTAGTTTTAGTCTGTTTTAATAATTAAACTTTTATTATTTTTTAAAAAACATGACTAATGTTTAATTTTCATTTCATTTTAATACCCGTTATTAAAAATTTACCACATTTAATATCTAACTATAAATTTTAATCCGTTTTAATATTTAAACTTTTAATTTTTTAAAAACAGTTAAATTTTGAATAGGATATTAAAATAAGATGTTTCAAATAAGATAAGAACAAAAAGAATTCGTATTCTTTGACCCTTACTAATTAACGTAAATATATACATATATAATAATTTGTTGTACTTTCTTCTTTATTTAGCTTCTGTAAGTAAATCGGTTGCTTGTCTTCCCTGTCTATCCTTTAAAGTGATAAACTCGTTCTCCTCGAGAATCTGAAACCCAAATTCAAAATGAAAGACCAAATTTCCCTCAGTAAATTCATATATTTTTGTAAAGTTTTCATCTTTTTGTTTTCAATTTGGAAATTGATTTTGATTTTGGGATGGCGATGTTAGTGGAAGATATTGTACAATCCGTGGAGATGTGGTTGAAGCTGTTTAAGAAGCCGCAACCTTACATGACCCGAATTTGGACCCGGTTTTATTGGTTCCTGGTACTGCCGGGTCAATTTTGAATGCCGTGGGTGATCAAAACTTGAAAGAACGGGTGTGGGTTCTGATCCTCGGTGCCGATTATAAGTTCCGGACCAAGCTCTGGTCTCGTTTTGATCCTTCTACTGGTAATTTTTTTTGTGTTTAAAAAAATTTAGTGGAATTGTTGAAACTAGAAAGTGTTTGTTTTGTTGAGTATTTTGGGGAATTTTAAGGATATGGGTCCTGCCTTCGCACCATTGATTTCGGGGTACCTATCCCATCCAAAGTCGAGGTCGAAAAATCCGCTCGAGATTACACCCCTCCTCAATGTCTTTCTCTACTCTTCACAGATTTGGGTGTCCTCACTCCTTCCGTCGTTAGCGACGAGCTTATTCAACTACATCTGTAGTGCCGACGAAGCTCGCCACCTTTTACGGTTTAGAACTATATGGAGACTGCTTATGTAGTGAGTGAGATCCGTGTTTCTGATGATTGATCACTTGATTTGCATCACATGCATAAAACCAAAGTCCATGCATCAAATACGGTCTTTGTCCTCGTAACCTTTTGCCGTTATATGTTTTCAATTCATTGAAATTTTGATATTTATAATTTACGTGAATAAAATATAAAATTCATCAACTAAATTATTAAAATATTTTAAATATAATTTGAAAATTTGTTAAAATATGTATATATGGTCTTTGTCCTCTTAATCTTTATCAGTCCGCTATTAAAGGTTAAATCAAGATGTTTTAGCTCAAATCATAGTGAAAGTGATTTTCTCAAATTTTAATGAACAAATTAGTATTAGAAGAGTGGCAAATGGTAACAATGATAAAGAGTTTGATGTTATTTAAATATGATTTTGGAGTTAAATTTTGTAGGAGGAATTAAGGAACCTTATTAATCTATTCTTGTTATGAATCTATAAATACTTGAACTGCCATTGATTATTTTACCAGTATGTTTGTTTGTAAGGCGAAAAACATTCCATCGTTATATATTTATGATTCTTTTTAATAGTTTAATACGATTATAAGATACTATTTGTTCATAATTTTTTTATCATTGATCATACGCACGTACTCTGTAACTGCTTGAACTCGAATACTTAATAAAAAAACAACACTTTCTTTAATTAAGGTTTCGCTCTAAGTAATCCAAATCGACTTGTGTCACACGCTTAACTTTAGTTGGGGAATCTTCCTAAGGAGATTTTCTTTTCTTTTTCGTTTTTTGTCAAGGGATTTTCTCTTTGAATAGGCCGAGTACAATTTTTATACTTAAATGATATCCTTCTTATGAATATATATATTTATACAATGTAAAACTGTTTAATTTTATATAGATTTAAGATCGTTTGATTAGTAAAAATAAATGACTGAAATTATTTCTTTATTTTTTTCAGTAAATATTTTCACATTTTTTACTTTTAATATTGATTATTTGTTTTTACTCATACAACGATCTTAAATTTATATATATATATATATATATATATTGTTTTTCTCCATTTAAAACAAAGGAGATTTCATTTGACATTTGAGTGATGACGTTGATAAAACAAAAGCTACTTACAATTTAGGCAAAGGAAGGGTAGTTTCGGTACACCATCGGGAAATGAATGCTCAAAATAAGACCGATATTACCGAAAATTAACGCCGGTGACGTAATCTACACATTCCCACCAATCGAATACTTCCACGTCACCCTCCTTTCTCCACGTGTCCCCTATGCAATGCCCCCTCCACCGACGCCGTCACTTCCCTTCCCGTCCACCGATAATAAAAAACAAATTAGAGCGAATAATTCCCCATTTTCCGTTTCTCGTCGAAACCCTAAATCCCCCGGCTTCTGAAATCTTCGATTTTTTTCGGATCTCCAATGGAGGAAGGCGAAGAGATCCAATCATACCCATCGGTTGCCGCTACCGGATCTCCATCGCCGTCTTCGCCGTCCAATAGTCGTGTAACCATGACGGTAGCTGCCGCGCCTCCTCCGAATTCGCCACCTTCGGAAGAGCCGGGTCAACACGAGAAGGCGATAGTGCTGGCGCTTCCGCCGCCGCAGAAGCTGAAGAGCAACGACGGTGGAAGGGAGGACTGCTGGAGTGAAGGCGCAACGGAGGTTTTGATTGATGCGTGGGGAGAGAGGTATTTGGAGCTGAGCCGCGGGAACTTAAAGCAAATGCATTGGAAAGAAGTGGCGGATATTGTGAGTAGCAGAGAAGAGTATACAAAAACTCCGAAGACGGATATTCAGTGTAAGAACCGAATCGATACGGTTAAGAAGAAGTATAAATCAGAGAAAGCTAAGGTTGCTGCCGGAGGCGGACTGAGTAAGTGGGTGTTTTTTGAGAAATTGGATAAACTTATAGGATCCTCCGCCAAGATTCCTGCTAATTCGGCTTCCCCAGGTGGTGTTGGCGGTGGAAGTGCTGACTTTTTGTCTAAAGTATCGATGGGGATTCCAGTCGGAATCCGGTCCAGTTTAAATCCATATCGAGTTTCTCGAGTTCAAGAAAGACGACAACAACATTTCCAACAACAAAAGCAACCGAGAATGGTTGTATTGAAGAATCAGAGGAATCGGGGTCAGGTGGACATGGATTCCGAGGACGATGATGAGGATGACGATGTGGATTCGGTCGACAGTTTACCGCCACCTCGGACAGGAAAAAGGGCAATAGGAGTGGTTCACAAGGGTGCCAATTCAGGTGAAAAAAGAAGAAAATGGGATAACACAGTTAAGGAAATAACCCGGGCGATATTACGGTTCGGCGAAGCGTACGAGCAAGCGGAGAGCGCGAAGCTTCAGCATGTTGTGGAGATGGAGAAGCAGAGGATGAAATTCGCCAAGGAGATGGAGTTGCAGAGCATGCAGTTTTTCATGAAGACTCAGCTGGAGATTTCACAGTTGAAGCAAGGGAAAAAAGGTGCTGGAATCAGCAACTCTGGTAATCATCATAGTAAAGTTAATAACAGTAATAACAACAATAACAATAGTGATTGTAGTAATTGAGTTTCAGTAGGATTGGAATTTGATTAGTGGGGTTAGATTATATGTGCTTATTTGTATGTAATCAGTAAAGACAATAGATTTGTATTGGAATTTGGTAGTTTGTTTTTTCAAGTGTAGCTATCATGGTTTTCTTTGTTAACATAGTGTGTGTACCTTGTGTCAGTGACTAGATGCCTAATTAGATTGTGTATCTGGATATGGCCAAAATATTCGAATCAGACGGGTTTCATTTCAACCCAATGGTTTTTTTTTTAGTTCGGGTTAAGGACATATTGGGGCAAGTTTGTTAAGAAGGGAGTCGATGTCAAGACAGAGTTGGAGTGAGTTTTTACTTCAACATTCAGGACGGATTCGGGACGGATGGAATACCATCAAAGGTTAAAGAACAGAATGAGAAATGGTGGTTGCAATGCAAATGAAGAACCTATGGCAAGACATGACAAATCATCAACACTTTATTAGGAGATTTGGAAGAACTCTACTTCTAGGGCTAACCATCAAGAAGTGTTATGGAATTAAGCTTTGAACTCGTAAAACCGTCAACTTCGACATTCGAGGCAGGAAATGCAATTCAACAAGCACATTCAGAAATCATATGGTAAATAACCTTAGATCTTCTAAAGAGATTAGAAGAGTCAGTCAAACAAAAAGCTTGTATCTAGAATTATTAATTGTATCTAGGATTTTAGTACTCTCTAAAAGTCAGATTTAGACGACCTGGACGAAGATTTGTTTCCTCCAAGAGACTTCCAGGTGCAGTTTTTTGCTTAATTGCAGCCACGCCATGAAAGATGTGTCTCGATTTCCCACCAAATACAAGCACATCCCCAGATTCAAGTTCAACCTTTTCCGCCTTGTCGACTTCCCTTTCGTCACCGTATAAAAATTCTGCTGCATCTCCAATAGAAAAAGATACCACAGGTAATCCTTTACGTAGACTTCCTGGACTTTCATCCTTATCCTGCAAGCAACCCGACCGAGTTTTCAGTGGTATATGGATAGGATATAAGTTAAGAGGGGCTAAAACGTCGGACCTGATGAAGTCCCAGTCGACCACTTGCAGAGTAGAAATTAACAATGCAGATATTTGGCGACATCCATGGAAGAATGTCTTCCGCAAGGCTAGCCTTAGTCTTTTGTTGTATGAGGGAATGTGAATCTTTTATTGCCTTTTCAACCAACTGATAGAATTCGCGAGGAATACCGGCTGGAACAACGCTGTCAATTGTTTGACGATCTCCGTAATTGCCCGTCTCCGGATCCCAGTTTTTACCAAGGCACATCATTTTCAAATGCAACTTCGCTCCATCACGGTAACCTGGTTGATAGAAACCTCCAGAACCCAAACCAAGAGATCGACAAGCTCTTACAATTTTTACCTACACACGTATGAAGCAAAATAAGTTAACTAAGATTACAGTCCCAATTTCAATCACCCTTTTCTAGCATGGTAATTGTTTATTTTTAATCATATAAAAACTCTGACAACATGATTGTTATAACACATAAAACTAATGGATGTGGAGCCATTGAACCTTCAAGGTTACTGCAAGTTCCACTATGGTTGTTATAACCACAAGAACCACTAAAATAAGACTGTTGTTTCAACTCTTCATTTTTTTCTTAAACCATCGCGACCAGCATATGAGTATAGCAATTCGTAACCTCCGAGGATCCTTCAAATACAAAGATAACTTGGTAAAACTTTATGGAAATATACCAGTATCAGACACTTGGACTCGAGTCTGAGCAACATAGAAATAAGACACTCAAATTCAAGTTTTATACACACATCAACAAGAAGTAAAGACAAGTGGTTCATGGGTGAACCAGAGATATAGCATTTATCAAGAGAATTTTTTAGCAGCCCATTTAACTAGAAGATTGATATACAGCGACTAGACAGCCTCACCTGATCAGGTATAGACAGATATTTCTTTAGAAGCACCATCCCAGGTCTCAATACATTTCCTATTTGCCCTTCAGTCGATCTTTTGATTTCGTTCCGCTTTTCTCTATTCTTTACAAGCAAAGATGGTTTGAGCATGACTGGGGTTCCGATTTTGGTCAAGCAAATGTCAAAAGGCTCGATCACAGCTTGACACTTAGCCTGACTCGAATCATAAATACCTGAACTATTTTGGGGACTCCTTTCATAGGATAGTTTGGGTGTCTCGGACTTGTGTACTGAGTCGGAGATGTTAATCTTGTTGGGGAAAGCATGGTGCAGTGGAGCTGCACAACTCTCAGTCTCCTCAACTGATGAAAGTTCAATCTGGTCTCTTAGTAATCCCGGCTTTGAGTCCAAAGAACTCGAGTGATGAGACAATGACAGGCAGCCATCATTAAGGACTGCATCCGGAGTGCCCAAGATTTCAGGAGTATCATTTTGCCCATGAAATCCGGTACCAGCAGGCAATGACGATTTCAGCCTATATTCGTAAACAGGGGCATTCTCATTCTTAGTGTAGCTTGAACCACTCGGCGACCTTTTTGGAATCCGTCTCCCTTGGCTTTCCGGCATTCCATCGACCCGTGTATGATGAGACTTTTCACCAAAATCCCCAACCTGGAGATGGTGATCAAAATTATTTAAACAAAGGGAAAAAAGAACTTTTTTTCATTACTTATGACCTAATATCCAAACATTAGAACAAGAGAATCCACCATCGCCAAACCTCATAATAATCCAAAATTAACTCTATCTTCTATAACTAATGGTAATTATATATATTAAAGTGTATACCAGTAAATAAAAATTCTTCAAGTTCAGAAACCTACTCCTTCAATTTTACTAAGAACTAAACCGTTCATGCAATGTATTTAATTTTTTTTAGAAAAGAAAGAACGAAAATTGAGTAATTAGTGAAGTTAGAGAAGAAACTTACTGGGCTATGACTGTGATTGGAATATCCTCCACGAAAGGAGGACTGGCCACTGCGAGGGGTTCGCCCGCGGCCGGGATACATGTTTGCCGGCGAATCAAAGGGTGAGGAGAGTTAAAGAAAACTGGCGTGGATGTGGGAAGGAATATGAAAAGCTGTAGTGGGAAGGAATATAAAATCGAGGAGTCCTACGTACAATAAATAAATTGGTATATTTACTATTTAGTCATATAACTAATGATGTATTTTTTTACGACAATTAACTACGAAACATTTCATTTTAATCATAAACATTCTCGTTTTATTCTATTTTAATAAATAAATATGCATATTTACTCGTTCCACCCTATCTGTTACATGTGAAATTAGTATTTTACCCGTATATATAAAAGTATTAAAAGAACAAGACTTAAAAAGGATATTTTTTACCTTCTTATTTGACCTAAATTGTTAATTGGACTCCTCCGTGATAAATTCATCAATGTTATCATCGTATTCTAAAACTTCATTAATAGTATTCTTTAATTAAAGAAAATTGCAATTAAAATTATAATCTAAATGTAAATAATGACATGAAAAAGATTAGAGTAATAAGAAACAATTTTGATAATTACTAAAAAGGATACCTTTTCCTCTTATTTGACCTAAATTGTTAATAGCGTAAACTACACATTTAATATCAAAACTATTAATTTTGATTTATTTTAATACCTAAATTTTTTAAAAAAAAATTTAAATTATGCCTAACGTTTTCTTTTTATTTCATTTTAGTATCCTACCATTAAAAACACTTCAAGTACTTATACTGTCAATTTTGATCTATTATAATTTAGGAACATTCAAATTTTTTTCAAAACTTAACGTTAAATTTCAAACGGGTACTAAAATAAAATAAAAATAAAATTTAAATATGACTTATAAAAAATAAAAATTTAAATATTAAAACGGACTAAAACTGATAATTTAGATATTTGACATATTACCCCAATGAAAATACATCAATGTTGCTCTTGCATTCCAAAAATTTATCAATGTTACAATTCATAGTTGATCGTTACGATGTTAATAAACAATCCACGTGTACAAGATAACATGAGAAATATATTCTTTTAGATGTGGAACAATTTTGATAATTATTCACTCCACCCGATCTATTATACATGAAATGATGAAATAAATATTTTACCCTATACACACAAGTATTACAAGAATAAAAATGTAAAATTGCACAAATAAAATAAAACTTTATATATATATATATATATATATATATATATATATATATATATATATATATATATAGACAGCAACCATATGAAATATATATGAGAAAATATTAAAAAAGCTTCATAATGGCCATTTCGAACACGAAATAACATCAGGAAAAACATTCGATTGACAATCAGGCAAACATATACCTATGCTATATATAGAGGCAGATATAAAATAGCAGGGTGCAATAAAACGCCGGAAAAAGCACATTAAAAAGCCTCCTAAATGTTTTTTTTTCCTTAGAACTCGAATAAAACCTGCTTTCCGATTTTCTGATTTTCGATTTACTGATAGTACATTAGCTGCTGGGCAGCCGTGACGTTCTGGAATCCGCCGTCATATATGGCCTGGCTTGCTCCCGCAGCACCGACTCCCATCGTTGCTTGCTTGAGAGGGTGTTGTCCCTGTGGGTGCATCAGGGCGTGAATACCGCCCATTTTGTTCATGGCAAGTTGTTGCTCGTATGCTAAAAGGTCGGTGGCTGAAAGCCCGGGTAAAGGTGAAGTGGATTTGAAGTTGTCCCAGGTGGTGTAGGTTTGCTGCCCCACGAGCACTGCATAAAGCAAATTAATTATGTCGGTTTCTTGTTATCCAAGGGATTAAATTTAGAAAGAAATTGGAAGCACAATCTACTTTAGTCGGACTACGGTGTGCCAGATTCTGATATATATCCGGCACAAGTATAATCAGATTTTTTTAACTGTTTTTCACGTATTTGAACAATCTTTAAAAGTCATCCACTAATGTGTCAAACATGAATGTCAGATTTAGATCAGCAACACTGAATCTTACAAAGAAACGACCGTCCACTGCTCGGTTTAGGGTCCTCCTCCGAACATAAAAGTAGGCAAAGAATTCCTAAAACCAAACACTTCAAGTAGAGTCAAATATCGAGTAAAAGAAGAGAATAAACCTTAATTTGCTTGCCGCATAAATACGAGTGGGCATTCCCCAGTTGAATAGCCAAAGCTGCCTCAGCATGAGTATTGTATCTTACAAAGCCAAATCCTTTATCACGCTGGACTCCGACTTCCTCAATCAACCCAGCACCAAGAGCATGGAAGTGATAGTGGAGTTCAACTTGGGTGACCTGCAGAAACAAAAAAATAATCAGTTTTATTTGAGGACATAACATTTTCCTTTACGGTACAAAGTAGACACAAGAGCAACTCTTGTAAGCACTCAAAACTACATTAGATGGGATTTCTCGGGTTCCAAATACAGACAGCCAGTTCAAGCTCATTCCATCATTGGTTGAAGGCTTAATTAGAAGGATGGGAGTTCTCAAGGTCAACATAAGTTACTTGCCTCGGGAGCAAGGTTGCCGACATAAACAGTTGTATATTGAGGATTATTCTCAGGAGCTTCGTTGTTGGTTGCTGTCTCTTTACCATCCTCTACATCCAAAGCTAAGAGATGTAAGTTTATTTCACATTTGGCACAAATTTGAAGACCCGTCAAAAGGTAGAATAAAAGTAAATAAAATAATCATAACAGTTCTGTGGTTTGCATTTAACGAAACAATAATAATGTGAATGCTTGTTTTGAAAGCTGCAATAAACACACCTGAAGAGCCATTGGTTAGTTCTACGATACTTTTGGCATCAGAGCTCTGCTTGTCATCGATGGTACCAACACCCTTAGTTGCCCAGTTACAACGAATCTGTCGACTGCCACGCCACTTCCCTATAAAAATAAATCAAAGAACATATGAATTATAATGCAATATCAACCAACATGAATATATGCAAGAGGTAGTCTGTTTAAAAATTAGTGCTAACTAGATTTATTCCGGTTCAGCCGCAATAATTTAACGAATTGCTACTATAAACATGGTGCAATTAATGACAAAAGAAAGGAAAAACTTTATTTGGATAACTGTTTCAGAAACCTGTTAATATTTCAAAGCATGATAGAAAAATGAAATCAACTTTGACGTGAAAATTCACAGCTTTAGTGATAAGCTAAAGCAGTGGTAAATGAAGATAAAACATGTATTGCGTAAAAAGTATTATCTTACCATTTAAGTCATTAATTGCACTTTGTGCATCCTGAACGGATAAAAGAAGTCGATATCAATAGATGAAGCGACATTATAATGGAAGAGAAACACCAAAGGCCACCAGAGGCAGGGTTTCAAAAAACGGTCTGCGACCGCGATTTCGTCCGCGATATAGCGGTTTCGCCGCTGTCCGAGTTACCCGCGACGGCCGCAATAGCGTCCGCGACGACCGCAATAGCGCCCGCAACGGTCGCAATCACGGTAAATCCGAAATAACCGAAAACGCGACCGCGATTTAAAACCCTGACCAGAAGCTTAACCAAGAAACAGTACCTGCTGGTTGCGAAAGGAAACAAACCCAAATCCCCTTGAACGCCCAGTTTTCTGATCCCACATAACTCGTGCATCCCACAGGTTTACAGATAAATGAATTTACACTTTGCAGATAATTTATGCATTTAGCTTTAGTAAGCTACAGCACATGATTATTTACTGGAATCAAGCTCAAAGGAAACAATGCTTACGAACAACTGGGTGTAGACACTAATTTTCGTCCATATTTTTTATTATTATTTTATACATATATACCTATATATATTATATGGTTTGTAAACGGTTTTTGAAAATATATATATAATATATAGTTTTAAAAAAAACATTTTGAAAATATGGGTAACATATAGTTTTAAAATCATTTTAAAAACTTATATAATATATAGTTTTAAAAAACATTTTTGAATAAATTATATAATATATAGTTTTAAAAAACATTTTTGAATAAATTATATAATATATAGTTTTAAAAACGTTTTTTTAAAACTTATATAATATTTTTAAAACATTTTGAAAACTATATAATATAGTTTTGAAAACTTTTTTAAATATAATATATAGTTTAAAAAATATTTTTGAAATATATGTATTATATATTTATATTATATCAGTATTATTATTATTTATTTTCTTCTTATTATTTTCTTTTTATGTTTTTTCAGGGTCCAAACAGTCCAATAAGTCTCGAGGGCCTAATCCAGCCCAGAGCTCAGATTAGGGTTCCAACGTATGTTCAAACAGGCGCAGCGTAAGCCAAGGAGGTCAAGGGTCAGTCACACCGGCCACCGAGATTTCCGGCCGAGGAGATCGGGACTGACCCATCCCGAAATCCCCGGCCAACTAACCACGAGCACGTTACCGTTATCATCGGAGCAGACCCCCGGTGGGGTGGGTATAAATATCCCACCACGGCCATCAGGGAGGGGGGGACAGCCACGCAAATCTCAGAAGCATAAACACAGTAAACCAAATAACCAAAACAAGATCAAGGAGAACCCACAACGGATCAACAGTAAACCAAGAGTTCAAACCAACAACAAGTAAAAACAGAACCAACCACAAACCCATCGACCAACACAAACAGAAACCACATCAACAACCAAGGAACAACAACAAAACCAACAAGCAAAAGCCAAAAACAAAACGCCGGGAAGTCGAGCGGTTTTTAGTGAAAGGTAAAAATCGAAGGTTTAAAGCCTAGATCTACGCCATTTGGAGGTTTGTTTTTGCGTGATCGGTGCTCGGGGTTAGGTTGACGGGCTTGAGAGAAGCATTTTGGTGGGATTGGGTTTTTTCCGACCGCCCGTGGCGACGGCCGAAACGGCGGTGGTGCGTCTGAGTGGGCCACCAGACGGTGGCCGGATATCGCCCGGTGAAGGGCATCGAGAGAGCTTTCTCTCGTTTAAAAGAGGAGAGCTTGAGTGAATGGTGAGAATGAAGGAGAATAAGGGATTTTTAGGTATTTATATACCAAGGACCATAGTGCAATTACAGTATTGTTAAACTCTCTCCGCCGTCCCTAAGAGCTTAAATCGCTTTACAATCTGGTCACTACATGCAATTTGGCCTTTGAACTTTCGAGTTATTCAATTTGGTCACCGTTTATGCTTTTTGCATTTCGCAAATTAACCCTCTGATTTCTGGTTATTTCAATTCGGTCTTTTTTTATATATTTTATTTTATTTTTGTTTATTTTATCATTCTATTTATTTTGTTCCCTTCTATTTGACTTTATCATTTTTTTATGTTGTTTATTTATTTCGTATTTATGCATTTTTTATCTTAAGTTGGTTTTTCACTTCTTTACAAAATCTAACACTTTCATTTTTTTAAGGGTCTTTTTCAACTGATCAAAGGTAAGTAATCTGAATCGGTTTTTAAATTTTAATTTAAGTTTCTAATTTCTCGCAATTAAAGACAACCGATAAATTAATTGGTACCGAAAGGGCGGTTCAAGGGTGCTAATCCTTCCTTGACCGTAACCGACTCCCGAACCCGACACATTTCTGGTACAACGTAGATCAGGTAAGATGGTGTCCGACCCACCTAAATTCGTTTTAAAGTGGTCGGTGGCGACTCCCAACCCATTTTTCAAGTCGAAGCCCAATTCCGGGGCCCAACCGAAAGACGGTTGCGACAGCTTGGCGACTCCGCTGGGGACAGGTAAGTGAGTCAGGCCAGAATTAATTTTCCGTTGTCTTTTTATGCGAAAATTGTAAATTTAAATTTTAATTTATCTATTCGATTCCAATTATTTACCTTTGATTATTTTGTTTCAAATAAATAGTTGTACTGATGTTTTTTAATGATTTCAGATTTTTTTTCAAAATTGTCATCTCTAAGCTCTAAACCCGAACTCCGAACCCTTTTAAGTGGGGGTGAAAGCGACGCATTCGTGTGAATTTATTCACCGCATATGCCTAGCAAGTAGCCTTCGGGATTCATATACCTTATGTCTTCGTGTGAATTTATTCACCGTGCGGGCATAAGGGAATGTGTCCCCTTGAGTTTAACTTAGTCCACACAAGCCTGTGATGGGTTTAGAACTAAGGGTCTGGTAAGCCCAAGGGGGCACCGGCAAGGAGAACTCGAGTACCGTTTTTAGAACCTAAACCGGGAGAGTACAGGGAAGTAGAGCCCACCCCAAAACCTCATTCCAAACCCTAGGATGCTTTGTTTCCTGCTTTATTTTCTGTTCAAAGCATGCGAACTAGACAAATATGCGGTTAGGATTTGTTTAAAATTAGCATGCGGAATAGAAATCATGTCCGGGTAGGAATTAAAGCATGAGGGGTAGATATCATGTGGGGTAGGATTTTTCATTTTTTTTATTGTTTTGATTTACCTCACTAACCCTTTTATTTTTTGTTTTATTTTATTTTTGTGTTCATCGTTTGCACCATTTAAAACGATGTGTTGATCCACCAAAAAATGTGTTTGTTAAACATGAATAATCTGCATTAATGGACGAATGGGTTATAATACAAAGAGATAAAAAACAAAAAACTCAGAAGTCCAACCGTGGTCAAAGAATACTCAAAGGCAAAGTTACAGGGGCAATACGAGGAAAAGGTCACTGACCCGGTCGATCCTTTCGAAAACTACAAGAACAAGATGGTAAAACACTAGCTGAGCTGGATGCCATTACTGACGAATTCAAGAGGCAAGCTTCGGATAATTTCTCTCGATGGAAGGCTCCAATGACACTTTCGTTAGAAACAAGCTCGGTAGAAAGTGAAAGTCGAAGATGCAGTCCTTCGAGATCTTTTTTTTTTTTGGGCAAGCATCTCATTATTTGCACATTTTAGCCAAAGAAGCCGGAATGGTGCGACAGGATATTCAACTAGTGAAAAAGATGAATTAACTTGTCAGAAGATGTACAAGATTTGTACCATCAAAAAGAGTTTTTTTGTCTCTTCAGACGTAACACTTTTGTCACCAATAAGGGTTATTCAGAATAACAGGCACATTTTTTGGATCAATGCCTCGGACATTTCATGCATCACATATTTAGACATTTTGCATTTCTTATTTTCTTTGCATTTTGTTATTTTCTTTGCATTCACATTAACTAATATATACATGTCTCATCAAAAGGAGTAAATACTGGATACACCGCCTCAAGTATTGGACACACCCCATCCACATAACACTCGTTTGAAGAAGAAGAGGATGGAAGCCAGAATTACACAAATCGATGAGAATATGTTAAAACTACAAAAGGAGCTAGAAGACAAAATAAACCAGAACAGTCGAAATACTCTAGAAACAATCACAAAGAACCAAGAGTCCTTGGTTGATCAGATCGTTGCCAAGTTAATTGGCCTACAACAGACCAGTGCGCCTGGGGCAGGTTCATCGGAAGAGGTAACTATACAACCTACCCCACAAGTGGTTATCTCACCTGAAATCTTACCAGAACTTCGAGGGGACTCATCTGCTGCAAAATCAAAGCCCTTATCCTCTGTATTTAACCCTAGGAACAATCCGGGTTATTACCATGTACCGGATTTGGATGAAGAGGAAAAAGCGAGGAAGATGGAGGAAAAAATCAAACAATTGGAGGACCAAATGAATATAGTCAAAGGAGACCGTGACTACCATGAAATCGATGCAACGGAACTTAGTCTAGTCCCGGACTTGGTTCTTCCCCCGAAATTTAAGTCCCCGGAGTTCGAGAAGTTTGACGGGAATAGTTGTCCATCCGCTCACATCACCATGTTCCGCCGAAAGATGACAGGATATGGAGGAAACGACCAACTCCTGATCCACTGCTTTCAGGATAGTCTGTCGGGCTCAGCCATTCGGTGGTACAACCAGCTAAGCCGATCAAATATCAAGACCTGGAAGGACCTGGCCAAGTCATTTCTGGAACAATACAAGCATAACAATGACATAAGGCCAGATCGAGTTATGCTACAAAACATGGAAAAGAAGCATAACGAGAGTTTCAGGCAGTACGCACAAAAATGGAAGGACTTGGCTGTGCAAGTTCATCCACCGTTAGATGAAAAGGAAACCCGGAAACTTTTCGTACAGACTCTGAAGGCTCCATACTTCGGGCATCTGGTGGCGATCACATCAGGAAGCTTTTCAGACTTGGTTATAGCCGGAGAAATGATTGAGTCGGCCATAAAGCAAGGCAAGATTAAGGATGGGGAAGCCAGTAAGAAGCCTCCTATGAGGGAGAGGGATGGAGAGGTTAACAACATCAAACACTCCAGCAAAGGTGTTACAATCTCCAGCCCAAAACCAACTGCGGCTGTACCGTTAGGTACTTCTAAACAAGAGTCCAGGAGGGAAAGGGAACATTTCGACCCTATTCACATGACCTACAAAGAGCTTTACCAGCAACTTCTTGACACCCATGTGGTGTCACCATATCCAGTAGAACCCATGAAGCCCCCATACCCCAAGTGGTATGACGAGAATGCGTATTGTGAATATCACGGCGGAGTCCCAGGGCACACAATTGAGAACTGTTACGCATTTAAGAGGGTCGTACAAAAGATGCGTAACCAGAACTGGATCGACTTCAACAACTTGGGGGCATCCAAGTGAGGAATATCATTTCATCATTTGAGGCATTCTATTTGACTTTGTTTTTCTTCCATTTTTTCTCAAGTTTTTGTAAAGACATTTTAATCAAATTTATGTTACTTTAAAAGATGTTAAGCAATGGATCATATTTGCAAATTTGCAATTCTTTGCATATCATTTGAATTAAGAAACTCTGTAAACGGTTCAAAGTTACGAATCTTTGACGAAGTAACATGATTTAAAACAAGGACTTTGACCTTATCCAGAATATACCCTCAAACACCATACCCCGTTCTTGGAATTAACCAATTTTCCTTTCATAAGGTACGGACAACATGGGGCATCATTTGCATATGACAATTACTATGTTTTTTATTTAAGATGTTCAATGACGATGATGATCTTTACAAATGAAAGAGTCGAGTATGTGAATCCAGTTTAGGTCAGTTGCTTGAAAATTGAACTCTAAAGATAGGATTCCTTGACTTTCAAAAAACACCTAGGCTATAACAGGTTCTTCTTGACAATCTTAGGAAATTAAATCCTTAAAAAACTGAGCTATTCCGCTAAGGCAATTGGTTCTAGAGGAAACTTGAAAGCCCTGGCCTTATGAGTAGATTACGTTCAAACCATGACATTGCTCGGACACTTGACAATTCGGTGTTTGCTCCACTGCTCTTGTCAGGCTGAAGACCCTGTGGTGAGATGAACCCTTCAGTTAACTTGATAACTGTGATTATAATATTAAGCTGTCCCTCTAAAGCAATTGGTTAAATGCCCCGGCTTTATGGATTCAGCTAGCCAGATAATGACAAATTAAATCAAATTTATCTAAGAAATTTTCGGTAAAATGGACTAAGGGAGTTAAGGAACACCTGTTATAGTCAACTACACACGAGCACTCAAGAATTTCATTTTTAGACCGATATTTTTTGCACTGCCTTTGTTGGAAGAGCCTACAAAGCTTGAACAAATGAAAGATTTCAGAGGACTGAGATAAAAGGTCTAGTAATTGATCATGCTAGTTGCGTCATTTTGTCCGCACCCAATTAAAGTGCCAAAGCATGTTGCGATATTTAAAAAAATGACATTTTTTACCAAAAAACCTTAGAAATGAGGCCAACCTAAAGCCGACTCGGCCCTTTGAACATTTGTCAAAGATTTGTAACTCTGAAAGCATTAAAAGAGCTCTTGATTCCTTTGATATTTTTTTTGAACTCACATTTGCAATTTGATTCAATTGCGAACAATACTTTACAACATTTTTATCATTTCTCTCTCTTGAAACAAGAAAAAGGAGAAAAACGTCTTCAAACAGAACAATCTCATATATGAAATGTCTGTAAAGCCCAAGCTCGAGAAGCAAATGGGGCACGATCGATTCCATGGACCAGATTGGCAGGCAAAGCACGAGACTCCATCCAAGAAATAACACATAATTTATTCATGTTGCATGCATCTTAGACATACTTAGGTGCATCACGTTCATCATTTTAGCATACATAATTTTGCAGCTTTCAGAGTCAAGCTTCGACTTCAGGATGAAAGTTACTCGACTTGCAAGCACCTTTAAAAAACGATGGTGTAACTCAGGAGCAAGAAGCTACACCTCAACCGACTTTACATAACTACAGATCTCAGAACCAATTTCAAATGGGTTCGAGAACTAATTCAGATCAAATCTAGTTCGGTTCAAACTCACCAAGAGCAACATGTTTTCAGTTAACACTTTCAAGCCAGATTTCAATTCCACGACGGAAGATATCCGGCTGTCAGAATTTATCAGTAGGTTTTCCCATACCAGCTTAGGGGAACCACCGGAAGAACCGTGACCGTTTTCGACCCGTAAAGGGAAGCCATTTTTAAACAAACTATTTGCAGCTTAGCTCAAGGCCAGAAGGGTTATCTGCCAACCAAAGACCTTTGAGTTCGACTACGCTCAGCTCCAAGGCACATCATTTGCAGAATAACTTAAGTCGAGAAGGGCTATCTACCAAAGACCCCCGAGTTCGATTACACTCAGCTTCGAGGGCACATCATTTGCAGCATAGCTTAAGTCGAGAAGGGCTATCTGCCAAAGACCCCCGAGTTCGATTACACTCAGCTTCGAGGGCACATCATTTGCAGCATAACTTAAGTCGAGAAGGGTTATCTGCCAACCAAAGACCTTTGAGTTCGACTACGCTCAGCTCTAAGGCACATCATTTGCAGCATAGCTTAAGTCGAGAAGGGCTATCTGCCAAAGACCCTCAAGTTCGATTACACTCAGCTTCGAGGGCACATCATTTGCAGCATAACTTAAGTCTAGAAGGGTTATCTGCCAACCAAAGACCTTCGAGTTCGACTACGCTCAGCTCCAAGGCATATCATTTGCAGCACAACTTAAGTCTAGAAGGGTTGTCTGGCAACAAAAGACCTTTGAGTTTGACTACGCTCAGCTCAACGGCACATCATTTACAGCATAACTCAAGGCTAGAAGGGTTATCTGTGACCAAAAGACCTTCGAGTTCAACTCCGCTCAGATCCAAGGCACATCATTTGCAGCATAGCTTAAGTCGAGAAGGGTTATCTGCTAAAGACCTTTGAGTTCGATTATATTCAACTTAGAGGCAAATCAAGTTTGCAGAATAGCTCAAGGCAAGAAGGGTTATCTGTCAATAAAATTGTCGAGTTCGATTCCAATAAACTCGATGACACCTCAATCACACTATTGTCCGGCTGCAATCAAGGTTTTCAAGTCGAGAATAACACCTGGGTTAACCGTGCCTTAGTGACAATAAACCGTTTTTCCGGCAGTATAGCTTAAGACGAGAAAAGCTATTTGTCAACGAAGACCTTCGGAGTTCGATTTTATTCAGCTCGAGGGCCCATCAACCACAGGGTGGAGTCAAGAGACTACATTCAAGTCGAATTTTCCAACCCAGATCTTTAAACCGAGAAGAAGACTGAAGTTGACTACAATTTGGAAATGAGAAGCCACATCCAGATTCAAATTCCGAATTGCAGCTTCAATTCCATGTCATTTCAATATGGACTCGACTTCACGACGGAGGAACCATCTACAACTCAATTCGACAGGGAGTTATTCTTCAACTCCACCGAACGAAAATTTGTGTCTTTTTTGTCTTTGTCCTATTTTTCGTTCCACGAAAAAGGATAAAGAGGGGCAGCTGTAGACACTAATTTTCGTCCATATTTTTTATTATTATTTTATACATATATACCTATATATATTATATGGTTTGCAAACGGTTTTTGAAAATATATATATAATATATAGTTTTTAAAAAGAAAACATTTTGAAAATATGGGTAACATATAGTTTTAAAATCATTTTAAAAACTTATATAATATAGTTTTAAAAAAAATTTTGAATAAATTATATAATATATAGTTTTAAAAAACATTTTTGAATAAATTATATAATATATAGTTTTAAAAACGTTTTTTTAAAACTTATATAATATTTTTAAAACATTTTGAAAACTATATAATATAGTTTTGAAAACTTTTTTAAATATAATATATAGTTTAAAAAATATTTTTGAAATATATGTATTAATTTATATTATATCAGTATTATTATTATTTATTTTCTTCTTATTATTTTCTTTTTATGTTTTTTCAGGGTCCAAACAGTCCAATAAGTCTCGAGGGCCTGATCCAGCCCAGAGCTCAGATTAGGGTTCTAACGTATGTTCGAACAGGCGCAGCGTAAGCCAAGGAGGTCAAGGGTCAGTCACACCGGCCACCGAGATTTCCGGCCGAGGAGATCGGGACTGACCCATCCCGAAATCCCCGGCCAACTAACCACGAGCACGTTACCGTTATCATCGGAGCAGACCCCCGGTGGGGTGGGTATAAATATCCCACCACGGCCATCAGGGAGGGGGGGACAGCCACGCAAATCTCAGAAGCATAAACACAGTAAACCAAATAACCAAAACAAGATCAAGGAAAACCCACAACGGATCAACAGTAAACCAAGAGTTCAAACCAACAACAAGTAAAAACAGAACCAACCACAAACCCATCGACCAACACAAACAGAAACCACATCAACAACCAAGGAACAACAACAAAACCAACAAGCAAAAGCCAAAAACAAAACGCCGGGAAGTCGAGCGGTTTTTAGTGAAAGGTAAAAATCGAAGGTTTAAAGCCTAGATCTACGCCATTTGGAGGTTTGTTTTTGCATGATCGGTGCTCGGGGTTAGGTTGACGGGCTTGAGAGAAGCATTTTGGTGGGATTGGGTTTTTTCCGACCGCCCGTGGCGACGGCCAAAACGGCGGTGGTGCGTCTGAGTGGGCCACCAGACGGTGGCCGGATATCGCCCGGTGAAGGGCATCGAGAGAGCTTTCTCTCGTTTAAAAGAGGAGAGCTTGAGTGAATGGTGAGAATGAAGGAGAATAAGGGATTTTTAGGTATTTATATACCAAGGACCATAGTGCAATTACAGTATTGTTAAACTCTCTCCGCCGTCCCTAAGAGCTTAAATCGCTTTACAATCTGGTCACTACATGCAATTTGGCCTTTGAACTTTCGAGTTATTCAATTTGGTCACCGTTTATGCTTTTTGCATTTCGCAAATTAACCCTCTGATTTCTGGTTATTTCAATTCGGTCTTTTTTATATATTTTATTTTATTTTGTTTATTTTATCATTCTATTTATTTTGTTCCCTTCTATTTGACTTTATCATTTTTTTATGTTGTTTATTTATTTCGTATTTATGCATTTTTTATCTTAAGTTGGTTTTTCACTTCTTTACAAATCTAACACTTTCATTTTTTTAAGGGTCTTTTTCAACTGATCAAAGGTAAGTAATCTGAATCGGTTTTTAAATTTTAATTTAAGTTTCTAATTTCTCGCAATTAAAGACAACCGATAAATTAATTGGTACCGAAAGGGCGGTTCAAGGGTGCTAATCCTTCCTTGACCGTAACCGACTCCCGAACCCGACACATTTCTGGTACAACGTAGATCAGGTAAGATGGTGTCCGACCCACCTAAATTCGTTTTAAAGTGGTCGGTGGCGACTCCCAACCCATTTTTCAAGTCGAAGCCCAATTCCGGGGCCCAACCGAAAGACGGTTGCGACACTGGGATAGACAGAAAAGCAGGCGAACAACATCGCATCGGTAACCTCAGGACTGAGATCCCCAACAAAAATGTTAAAGTGACCTGCACCAATTATGATAATATCAAAAATTAGATTAAAAAAATCCAACTGATCATGTATATTTAGAGAAAAATTTTGCAACCAAAAACATGCATAAACCTGATGTATCCTCTCTCTGACCACTAGCATATGCCCAATTGACCTTGATAGGCTGTCCAAATCTGCAGATTACATGACGTGAGGTAAAAGCACACTCAAAATACATCAGAGGGACAAAATTAGACGTTAACACTTACGAATGCCTTCCATTAAGAGATAATATAGCAAGGGCAGCTGATCTGCGATCGAAGTAGTGGATAAATCCGTATGATGACTGCTTAATAAGGGAGAGAAAACAGAAGGCATGTCAATCATATGACAACCAATAGGCTAAAGAAAAAGGGAGAAAGAGTAGAAAATAAAGTTAACCATATAACGGTTAGAACATCCTCAGAGCATATGGGGAAGAAAAGAGGATACTAGTTTGAAAACAATACCTTTTCCTTTCTGACAAGTTTGCAACTTTCAACAGGACCAGTACTAGCAAAAACCTCTTGGAGTAGTGGTTCAGTCACTTGTGTATGTATGTTTCCCACATACCTGCAGTTTCTCAAAATAAAAACTAGAAGTTTAAAAAGAAAAGAAAAATGTAAAAGGCCATAAGTAACTTCCTGAGTTGTTAGAAAGGGGACAGAGCATAAAAGCTATTACATTCCCAAACTAATCAATCATCAAGTAAAAGAGATAACAGCTCAGAATTTAGCACTAAGGGTAGCAACTTTTTCCGATCGCAAGATTCATGAAGGAAAGTGTATACAATGTATATTGTTTTAAGCATAAAAGTGAATGGGAAATTACTCAATTAAGAAGGGGAAACAGAAGAGACACAAAATGCAGATGAACAAGAAGGAAATTGAAAGAAAAAAAAAATCTAGGCAAACACTCACACACTGCAGCAAGTACTTGGATCAAAACCAGGTGGCAGATTTCCACTTGGGATTGGCTCTATCTGCAAAATTAAAAATGTGAAAAAAGGAAAAATGGAGAAGGGGAAACAAAGAAATGATGTACAAAGTGTCCCTTCCCACTCAACCCAATTCTAAGGCATTCAAATCAAAGGAAGAAGAATTTTTGAAGGTATCCAACACTCAGCTAAAAAAATAAGATGCTAATTACAACCATCAGAAACCAGACAACTTCTCCAACCTCGATAAAAACACTTTCAACTTAAGACCAAAAACTACTATATCTGCTTGCTTTCACTGTGATCCCTTTTTCCCCTTTGTGTTTTCAGCGACAACCAGACCAAAATATTCCGTCTCATATAGACAAACATACTTTAACAAAATTGTAGTGTCTGCCCTAAAAATCTTTGAGAGAATGTAAATGTATTAAAAGTACCCTGTATTTTAAAATTTTGCTTCATGCGGTTAACCTAAAGAGTCACAGAATGAAATTCGGGAACCATGTTTTAAGTTCTAACACTTGTCTTAAGAAAGAGAAATAAATAAATAGATTGCAATTTTTTTTTTGCAAACATGGGATAAAGATATAGTATATGTAAGCATGAAGAAACAGAAGATCGGTCGTACAAGAGAGATAGCACAGGGGAATAAAACACATCCAATCATTTCTCAGCATTTTCAAAACAAGAAGAAGATTAGGATCACAAGTTAAACAAAACCAAAGTAGTAAAAACAACAGAAAATGAGAATGAAAACACCTATTAGTTATCCAATGGAAACTTCAAATAAGAGAAATAACATCGGAGCTTCATGCAATAATGAAAATCTAAAAATATTAAGAAAAAGAACAACCTCTCATCAAATTCCAAACCAAAAACGATGAGCCTCACTTTACAAAAGACATTATCATTTACAAAAAGACAAAATGAAGCAAGAAATCAACTTTCCGATCGATAAAGCATGTCAGAGCGCTGAAAACAGCAAAACGGAAATAAAATCCACTCAATTCAAGCTAAACCCCACGGAAAAAAGTAAATATTTCAATAGCTAAATCATCACCACATAAATTCCCAAACTAACCCTAACTCCAGCAGTCAATTACAAATAAGAAACAAAAACACGAGCTCGAAGACAAAAAAAACGAAAGATCCAACAAACCATTCCAAAAAAAACGGATCAAAAACCTCTAGATGAACAAAAATAAAATAAAAGAGATAACATATTAAAAAAAAGTGTAGAAAACCTGTGGAGGAGCTAAGATGCCTGAGTGATATAGAGACTGTTGCTGGAGGAGAGCTTGTTGCATCAAGGCTTGTTGTTGTTGCTTCAACCTCTGGTGCTGCATTTTTTCTTTTACTTTTCAAGGCAATATTCTAGGGAAAATTAATCTGGTTGTTTGGTTTCCGAGAAAATTATCCCCTTCCCCCCTTCTATGTCTTCGCTAGGGTTCAATCGTAATCGAGAAAGCGATAGAAAATAATAAAACTATGAAAGAAAATCAATAAATAAATAAAGGTCCCTTAAGTGGGGACTTGTTACTTGTGATCTAATCAAAGTTATTTATTACTAATTTGGGAACTTTTAGCAGCGATAAGCTCATATTAGTAAGTTTTAAACGAATCTAATGTTAAATGAATTATTCGTGAATTATTTAACGGAAATTTTGTTTATATTTGTTTATTTGTTAAATAAATATAAGATTTTATATTCATTTAATTAAATGAACGAATATAAATAAATGATTCGTTCGTTCATTTACGTTCGTGAACGTTCAATAATTCGTATGTTTATGTTCGTTTATATTCAGTTGCTGAATTCCGATTTGTTTAAAATAGTAAAACCTAATAAATTTAACTTTAAATCTATTAATATTTTAAAATTCAAATAATTTTAAATCCAAATGAAAAAACACCCAACTAATTTTTTAAAAAATTAAAAATCTACAATTATTCAGAAAGAAAAAAAAATCTTCTCAAATATAAACACATAATTAATTTTATGTTCGTTCGTTTGTATCCGTTTAAGTTCGTTTATGCTTGTTCGTTTGTGTTTCGTTTACATTTATTTGTTTGTGTTCGTTTATCATTTTAACGAACGAACATAAACAAACACAAACAAGTGAAATTCCTTAATGAACAAACACGAACAATAAAATCCATTCGTTTAGCTATCTGCGTTCGTTTATTTGTTCAGTTTAAGTTAAATGAGCGAACATAAATATATCATCTATTCCTCGGTTATGTACAGGCCTGCATATCAGACTTTTTCTCACAATAATATCACTAATATAACAAATTATTCATAAGAATGTTAAGAGTATCAAAAGTCTTCTATTTTTAAAAAATAATTAACTAAATTTCTTGATTTTTTATTAAAATAATATTTTTGAATTTTCATTAATTATACTTCTTAATCGAAATGGGTACCCAGCCATACTGAAATATCCAAATTATATTTACCAATTTCCCAGCTAAATCTCAAACTTTATATAGTCCATCTTCACCCCATTTGCTATAGGGTTCCATCCACGAGAATTTATGTACAAACAGCAGAAGGAGATTAAAGAGCGAGTGAAAAAAAAATGAACAAGAAGGAGATACTGAAGTTGGCGAAGGGATTCAGGGGACGGGCAAAGAACTGTACAAGAATCGCAAGAGAGAGGGTCGAGAATGCCTTGTTGTATTCCTACAGAGATCGCCGGACATGCGTTCTCTATGGATTCAACGCATCAATGCCGGCACTCCGCAACATGACGTAAGCTCTCCTAAATTAACGTTTCTACTCGCTTACTGTTTTTCATATTCCGATTGAAAACCTCTCGGTTGTTTATGCTCCTCCGTTTTATGCGATTCATCTTTTTTGCATTGTATTTTCAGGGTAGCGTTTTGGTTTTTGATTTGATTAGCTTTGAATTGAAAGAGGAATGTTACAGATTGAGACTCTGTAGATGGCATTTCATTGCACCAAGTAGCTATTATTGACTTCCCGTTTTGCTTTAGTGCTCGTTAGTGAATAGGAAACACAGATTGGAGCTCAAACATGTATGACCTCTGAGTCACTGTTCCGATCAGTTGATCCGGATTGTTCAATTAAAATATGAATTAAATGTTAGCATAATATACGCAATTAATAAATTTTTGGTTCGTCTAACTTTCAATTTCCACATATTTAACAGTTAGGGCTTCCATTCAAATTTGGCCCACGAAAATGACTGAGAACGTCTTGGCTTCCCACACTTCAAACTCCATCGTCCACTGTTGGATTGGACCGAGTTTGAAGTATGTCGCTCCCAGGGGCACGACGAGCCTCCTCACAGTTGGGATTCGTCATTGGAGGCTCCCATCGCCGGTTAGAGCTTCGACCAAGAGGTAAAACCCTTCAAGCTTATTCCTTTTTATTTCTCATTTCTCCTCTTTTTAGTTTTATATGGCTTGGTGCGAATGAAAAAAATCCTTACTTGGGTCGAATAAAATAATAAATAATAATAATAAAATGTTTGGTATTTTGTTGCTGGAAAATGGAATTGCTTTGCATTTTATTTCTGTTGTTCAATCGAAGGGGAAGAAGAGACCCTTACAAACTTTTCGAGAGAGAAAAAATAAGGAGGTACCTCCTCTACAATCGTTTTAAAGGTTTTTATAGAACCCATATTACATTGCCAAAATCGAATAAAGCAAATTACAATTTGTTTTCCTTTGATTCTGTTAAAGAGAGGACCACTCGCGTATTGCTGAGATGTGTGGAAAGGGCATTCATGGAGGCGTTGGGGGACCACGGGTATAATCCTTGCTTTGATGGAGACTGGCGTGGAGCAGGGGACCAGTTGGGTGCTTGCTGAAAACCCGTTGCTGCTGGAAGAGGCACTCGAGTGAGAGGAACACTGTGCAAAAGGGCTCTCTCGTTAAGATGATGATTGTGTATGAATGGCCTTTGCTGGTGATGAAGGCTTCTGGAATTCTCCCTTGCTGGCTTGGCATGGGATGATTCAGTGTTGGGTATAGAGAGGAGGCACTTGAAGATGGGGGCATTAACTGCGGGTGCTATCTTCAACTATCAGGGGCGTTTGGTTCAAGTAATTTACCCGGTAATATTTTATTTTTACTGAACCAAACGAACACTTAGGGGGTGTTTGGTTCAAGGATTGTGGGATTCCCATGGGATGGGAATCCCACATTCCCATGTTTGGTTGACCGGGAATCTCATTACTGGTAATGTTTTATTACCAATAATAAATTTTTTTGGGGTATATTACCGGGAATGTCATTACCTCTCTTCCCTTAGGTATTGTAACATTACCAGCGTTTTGGACTAAAATGCCCTTAAAATTTTATTTTTTTTCAAAAATATCATTCTTCTGTCATTGAATAATAAAAATTCTACAAAAGTTAAATTACAAATTTATACTTAAATTATTTTAGATTTACAAAAAAAAAAATCTATAATTTTATATGAAGTTCAGGGGTTAAATTTTTTTTACCATTTCATTAAACCTTTTTTATATTTTTAATTTTGTAAAAAAATTATATAAATATTATGAATTTAATTTTTTAAAGAAAATATATAAATATTTTACAATTTGTAATATTATACAAATATATAATAAGGACAATTTGGTCAAATATACATTCCAATAATCTTTTATTCCTTTAATCAAACACGGTAATCTTACATTCCTGCTAAACCAACCAAACACAAAATACAACATTCCCAGTAATCCTATTCCCTGGTAATCTTTTATTCCCACTGGTAATCTTACATTCCGTGAACCAAACGCACCCTTAGGGTTTTTGGTAGCCAAATCACAAAGTAATGGGTTGTTGGGTTTTAGGGTTAATTGGGGATATTGTTTGGGTATTGGGCTAAAGTAAATGGGCTCGTATTGTTTAATGGGTGAAGTTTGGTCTTGGGTTATGTAAATGGACAATTGTACAAGGACTCTTAATATCCATTTGTTTTTTTTATTTGGTCCCAATTTCCAAAATGTGTATGGGTAATGATAAAGAAATGGATAAACATGAATGGTCCCTAAGCCCGAATAATTTATTGCTTAAAACCCTAAATTCAAATCGATCTTCAAACTTCCCATTTGTGTCAACAATTTCATTTGAATTAATATGTCATCAATGTACAAAGGCCATCAAATAAGTCTTCGATCATCCTCAGTTAACTTGAACTACCCGGACAAAATTAGGGTACAAAACATATCTAAAGTTTAATTTTTGTTTCATTTTAGTACATTTATTCAAAATTTAACATCAATTTTTGAAAAATTTGAAATTTTGGATACTAAAACGTACCAAAATTGATAGTTTAAGTACTAAAGTGCGTTAAGTTTTTAACATTGAGGTACTAAAATGAAACAAAAACTAAACATTATGTATGGTTTTGCAAAAAATGAAAGTTTATATACTAAAACAGATCAAAATTGATAATTTAGGTACTAAATGAGTAATTTATCCTAATAAATTTAATCTCCATTTTTTACGTTTTTATTTAGTTTGTCACTATTATTTTATTTGGAGCTTGAAGTCTTACTTTTTCATCATACGTCATGCATGTAAATAAAAGAGTAAGGGCCAAATTGAATAAAGGTGTAAAGATTGGGAGTTAAATTTATTACTATAATTTGTATATAAAACACTAAACCACTTATTGAAAATTAGAACGAACGAATTATTTTATTCTTTTTTAAAGAAGAAAGGCACACAATCCGAGATATAATGGAGGGGCCTTTATAGCACTATTAGCCGTAATATCAATTTTTAACTAAATTCAAATAAATCAATCAATTTTGTGAAATCGATTTGATTAATTTGTAATCAAATTATTTTTTTAAAAAACGTTTACCATTAATCAAATTATTTTTATATAATTAACCATATTAAATTAAAGTTGAACTAATTATCAATTAGCCTATTGTGAAGATATTTTAGATTTATTAAATAATATCATATGTTTAAATTCTGACATTTTTTCGAAGTTTGAATATTGACATTGTAAACAAAATAAGTTGGATTGGAAGGTTTACCTTCATAATGAACTTCAACAATTTCAAATTCTTATTGGTTAATTAGTAGTACACAAATGATTTCCCGACTATAGGATGTTACTTTATTAAGTTCATCGACTATTAAAAGTTATAAAATGATTCTCTGACTATAGAATGTTTATTTGTTGTGTCTATTGACTATTAGAAGTTACAAAATGATCAGTCGACTATTCATCGTGTTTCAAACTCATCTTATTTTTTTAAAAAAAATAACGGTATTTTGAGCTGAATGTTAACATACTGAATGTGATATGATAAAATATGATCTCAAACAATTATAATATCTCAATCATCATGTTAGCATACAACTTAGACAACCGTCGAAAAAGGACAAGTCTGGAATATAATGAATAGTCAGATGATCATTTTATAACTTTTAATAGTCAAATGACTCAACAAAGCAACACTCTATAGTTAGAGGATCATTTTATAACTTTTAATAATTG